GGAGGGCAGAGGGGATGGATCGAAGAGAGGGATCTGGAGCCCTCAGAGTTGATAAGAAAAGGCTAGGAGCACTTCAAACTCTAGAGCGACTGTGAGCTTTTAAGTAGATGACTGAGAGGATTGCCACCAACAAACAAAACCAGGAGGAAAGGCCTAAAGGTTATAGGTAAAGATAAGAGTTCTAGGGAGCTGGGGATTTAGCTCAGTGGTTCTGGTGCCTGCCTCGCAAGCTCAAGGTTCCAAGTTTGATCCCCGGTACAAAAAAAAAAAAAAGATAGGAGTTCTTTCTTAAATGTTTTTTGTTTTTGCTTTTTTTCAGTGCCTTTTTAACAGTTTTGTACATGTTATTGATAGAGCCTTAATGTCTTTTTTTGGTACAATACACCTTGTTTATGCAGTACTGTAATTTTTGCTGATTGTACTGTACAATGTGGTACTGTAGTTTCATGTTCTGTTATGCATTACAGTACTGCATGTAAGAGTTATACAAATAAGAGCAAAGTCATTAAGTTGGAGTTTCCTTTGACCATTTCTTTGTTCTGAATACTGTAATGCACATACTACATGCAATTTCTCATTAAGGCACCAATTCATTTAACAACCTAGTCACAGGGCTGTGACTTGGTTGTTAAACAAGGAGCATCTGTCTAACCATCCCTGGTGCCTGCCCAGGACCTTCACAGATAGCAAACTGCCCATGCGCCAGTGTCTTACATAGCATGCCACAGTGTTCCCATGTAACCCATGCACATCCTCCTATTGCTCTAAATCATGTCTACATTACTTATGAAGCCTAATAAACCCACTGTAAATGCTTTGTAAATAGTCATTACACTGTATAGTGCAGGGAATAATGGCAAGAAAGAAGTTCAGTACATGTTCAGTACAGGTGCAATTTTCCCCCAAATATTTTCCATACATGGTTGGTTAACTCTGTGGGTTCTGCTTCCTGGAGGACATGGAAAGCCAACTGTGGACACATAGAAGTGTACTTGCTGGGTGACGACCTGTGCATTTGGGCAGCTTTAATAGAATCAGTGAGCTTTTGTGCATTTGGAAATAGTCACACAGATTTAAACTCCAACCAAAAATGTACAACAGTTTCTGTGTTTCACATTATTATTTTTTGTTTGTTTTTTGTTTCTTTGAAACTCGGGACCTTGCGCTTGCAAGGCAGGTGCTGAAAAAACTGAGCTAAATCCCCGGCCCATGTTTCACATTATTAATCACAGCTGGTATCATCAATCTATCTATCTATCTATCTATCTATCTATCTATCTATATATTGGGGGGGGGATACCGGGGATCAAACTCAGGACCTTGAGCTTCCAAAGCAGGTGTGGTGCCACTGAGCTAAATCCCCGGCAATCAATCTATATTTTAATAGCTTTATCATACTGGTGGATGTATATTTGTTACTCATTATGATTTGAATTTATATATTGCTAATGACTAATTATATTGACTGCTCTTGTTTTGTTTGTTTTGTTTTTGAAACAGGATCTTGCCATGTGCTCGGCTGGTCTTGAACTCACTATGTAGCCCAGGCTGGCCTCAAATTCTAGGCAATCCTCCTGCCTTGGTCTCCTGAGTGCTGGGATTACAGGTGTGTGTCACCACACCTGGCTGAATGTCTGTCATATGTTACTTGCTAATTTAATATATCCATCCATGAAGCACATGTTCAAATCTTCTGTCTACTTTGCTCTTGGGTTGTCTATTTTTGTGCATTTGTGTATATTTTATATACTATGAATATGAGTCTCTTGTCAGATACATGTGATACAAATATTTTCATCTTGTTTGTGGCTTGCAATTTTAGTCTAATAATCACATCATTTGAGGAAAAAACTTTTTAAGTTTAATGTAGTTCAGCTTTTTTTTTTTGGTACCAGCAATCGAACTCAGGACCTTGTGCTTGCCAGGCAGGCATGGTGCCACTGAACTAAATCCCCAGCCCAGCTGGTCATATTTTTTTCTCTTTCTAATTAGTACTTTTGGGCCTATTTAAGAAATCTCTGGAGCCAGGCATGGTGTAATTCCAGCACTCTGGAAGGCTGATGCAGGAGAGTTACAAGTCTGAGCTCAACCCAGGCAACTCAGCAGGGTTCTGTTTAAAAACTCAAAATTAAAAAAGGGCTGGGGGGCTGGGGACTTAGCTCAGTGGTTTCGCTACCTGCTGCCCAAGCGCAAGGACCTGAGTTCGATCCCCGGTATCAAACAAAACAAAACAAAAAGGGCTGGGAGTGTAGTTCAGTGTGATGCCCAGGGTTCACTCCTCAGTACTGGGGAAAAACAAAAAAGAAAAATTGGGGGCTGGGGGTATAGCTCAGTGAGAAGGCTCTGGGTTCAATTCCTGTACCACAAAAAAAGAGCAGGAGGAGGAGGGGAAGAGGAGGAAAAGGAGGAGGAGGAAGAAGAGAAATGGGAAAAGGGGAAGAGGAAGAAGAGGAAAAGGAGGAAGGGGAAGGGGAAGGGGAAGGGAGGGAGCAGAGGAGGGAGAAGGAGGAAGAGGGCAAGGGCGAGGAGGAAAAGGAGGAGGGAAGTGGAGGAGGGGGGAAATCTTTGCCTAGGGCCTTGGGTCTAACCTGTAATTCCAGGAAAGGAGGAAGGAAAGAATTGAGGCAGGAGGATAGAAAATTCTAGGCCAGTCTAGGCAATTTAGGGAAACCCTACTCAAAAATTGTTTTAGCTAGGTGTGGTGGCACTCACCTGTGATCCCAGCACTTCGGAGGCTGAGGCAGGAGAATCATGGCGATGTGGAGGGCAGCCTGAACTACATAGTGAGTTCAAGGCCAGCCTAAACTACCCATCAAGACCTTGCCTCAAAAAAACAAAAAAAGAGAGCCCCAAAAGTACATTTTATTATTATTTAGGCCTGGCGAGCCCAACAGGTCTGGGAATGACAGCCTTTGAAGGGATGCTTTGGGATTCGTGGTACCCCGAGACCGGGGATGCAACATCCCCTAGAGCAACAGAGAAGGAGAGAGCGGAGAGAGACCGCGGCGAGCTTCGCAGAGACTTTCAGGGCTGGGAGCGGGGGAGGCCAGCTCGACTGGCCCGGCAGGTTTGTCCGGGGCTGTTTGCACAACCGCAGCCAGCTCCCGGGTCTCGCAGCGACCTCCAGTTCAGTGCTGCCTGCCCTGGGGGGATTAGGGCAGGGACCAGGGTGGGGGGCAGAGGTCCCCTCTGGGCTGTTTTGCACGAGAAAGGGCTCCTCTGCGGGAGTCCTCTTTGGTCTGCGGGAACTCTGTAGCCCTGGCCGGGCAGCCTCTGCCCAGGCTCCCAAGATGTCAATGATTCCTAAAGTACAGAAAATAAAAAACAGAGTAAGGTACTCAGCCACCCTAGAATCAACCTGTCAGGTTACACACCCACCGCACGAAGCGCTGCTGTACGCCTGTTTTCGTACTGGAGACTGAAGCCACTACCTCCACACTTAGTTAGCTATGTCCCAGGCCCCTTTATACTTTTTTTTTTTTTTTTGGTGTACGTTTTGAGACAGAGCCTTACTAAGTCTCTAATTTGCCCACGCTGGGTGGGCTCTAACTTGCAGTCCTGCTCCGGGTCAAACCCACAAGTGCGCTTCCACTTGGGCAATGTCCCCAGCCCCTCATTCCCCCTTTTTGTTTTTTTTCAATTTTTACTTTGAGCTGGGCTCCTGCTAAATTGCCCAGGTGGGCCTTGAATTTGCTATCCTCCTCCTGCTTCAGACGCCAAGGGTAGCTGGGATTACAGGTGTAGGTGTCCAGCCCTGCTGTAAACTTGTTACTGGTTTTGCATTGAATCTACACATCCACTTGAGAAGAATTAGTATTTTTATAATATTAAATTTTCTAGTTGATGAAAAATATCCCTACCTTTTATTTTTAGCTGAGGTCTTCTTTAATTTCCATGTGTGATAGTTTTTCTGGGTGGAGGATTTACAGATCTTTTGTTGAAATTATTTCTAGGAATTTGGTAAATTTTGCTGTTATCTAGTGTCTTTAATTTCATTTTCACACTGTTTATTGCTAGTATGTAGAAATATAATTGATTTTTGTTCTATTGATCTTCTATCAAGTGATCTTGCTAGAGTCACTATTAAGCCTAATGGTTTATACTTTAAAAAATTACTGTAGAGGGCTGGGGATTTACCTCACTGGTTTCGCCACCTGCTGCGCAAGCACAAGGACCCGAGTTTGATCCCTGGTACCAAAAAAAAAAATTATTGTAGGGCTGGGGATTTAGCTCAGTGGAACCGAATCTGCCTTGCAAGGTCGTGAGTTCAATCCCTAGTACTAAAAAAAAAAGAAAGAAAAATTACTGTATACACAATCATGTTGTCTGAAAATAACAATACTTTTATTTCCTCCTTTCTAGTTCATACACCTTTTAATTATTTTTCTCGCCTTATTGCATCTGCTAGAATCTCCTGCTGTAATATGAAAAGAAGTAGCCAGATGCCTGTAATCCCCACATTCTGGGAGGCAGAAGGGTTACCTGTTCAAGCGCAGCCTAGGCAACTTAGTGACTTAGCAAGACACTGTCTCAAAATTTTAAAAATTAAAAGAAGGGTTGGGGAGGTAGCTCAGTGTGAAAATCCTGGGTTCAGTCCACTGTACCCTAAAAAAATCAACAAAACAAAAAAAACGAAAGACTTAATCAATGTAGCTATCTGGGTATGGTATTTATATGGTGGGGAAAATTTAAATTGTTGACTTCATTTCTTTAATATTAATAGAACTATTCAAGTCTTCTTATGTTAGTTTTGGTAAATTGAGTATTTTAGGGAATTTGTCCATTCATTTACACTTTCAAATTTCTTAGAATAACTGTTCACAATATCCTTCTTCTTTTTTTTTTTTTTTTGGAGACAGGGTCTCACTATGAATTCCAGGCTGGGTTTAAACTCATGGTGATTCTCCTGCCTCAGCCTCCTGAGTGCTGGGATTACAGGCATGTGCCACTATGGCTATTGAATGCCATCTCTCTTAAAAAGTATGTTACCTTAAAAAAAAAAAAAAGTATATTATCATGCCTAGCCAGGCCTGATGTCATACAGTTATAATTATAGTCAGCTGAGGCAGGATTGCAAGTTTAAGGGCAGCCTAAGAAATTTGGCCTGTCTCAAAATAAAATAAAAAACGCTGGGGGTGTAGCTCAGTGGTAAAGTCCTTGCCTAGGATGTGTGAGGCCCTTGGTTTAATCTTCATTACTGCCAAAAGAAGAAGAGGAAGGAGAATAAGGGGGGCCAGCTATGAGTATTTTGTCCATTTCTCTTTTAGTTGTGTATTCTGTATGTGTTTTGGAGCTATATTATTAGGTAAATGCAAGTTTTAAATTATTAACCTTTCCCCTTATCATTATGGAATGCCCCACATGGCTCCACTGATATCACTACTCCCCTCACTTTAAAGCCTGCCTGGTCTCACATTCGTCTAGACTCATCAGTTGTTTTGTTTTCCAGAGCTGGGGTGGTGCCCAGGGCCTGGTGCATCTAGGCAAGCGGTCTGCCACCTGAGGATGGGACTCTTATGAATAATGTTGCTGTCTCTCTCTGCTCAGGTGACCATAATACAATGCCATGGCTTCAGTGGCTGTGGAGCAGAAATTCACATCCACTCAGTTCCGGAAGTGTAGTCTGTGAGTAGGGTACCGGCATGATGGCTTCTAGTGAGGGCTCCCTCTTGGGCAACAGATGGCTGCCTTCTCGTCCTGCACTTCCATGGCTGTTTCCTTGGAGAGCGTTCAGAGAGGAAGGGCAAGAGGAAGAAAGAGAAGAGATAGAGGACAGACAGACACACACACACATACACATGCAACTTTTTTTCTTATTAAAATTACCAATCTTATCAGATTATGATCCACCCTTCCTCAACCTTACTCACCTGCTCAGAGCTCCATCTCCAATGACGGTTGAGCTGGGGGACATTAGGGGACATGGTTAGGTGCATAGCAGCTGCTATGGACACTCACCCACTGGTTGTTATGTTAACATGTGTTTTCAATGCTTTGAGGTATTTGCCTAGAAGTAGAATTGGTGGGTCACACGGTCACCTTTAGGATCAGCCATCTGATGAACTGCAGGCTACTGTCCAAGTGGGTGCACCATTTTACACCGTCACCAAAAGTGTATGAGGTGGGCTGGGGATTTAGCTCAGTGGTTCTGGCGCCTGCTGCACAAGCACAAGGTCCGGTCCGGAGTTGGATCCCCGGTACCAAAAACAAACAAACAAAAGCATATGAGGGCTTTCATTTCTCCACAGCTTCATCAACACTTATTTTATTGTTATCTTCCTTTTTATTCTTTTAAAAAATTAATTAATTAATTATTTTTTGTAATACTGGGGATTCAGCCCAGGGCCTTCCTACTGAACTATATCCCCAGCCCTTTTTTGTTTTATTCTTTTTAAGACAGAGTCTCACTAAGTTGATCAATGGGACTGGAACTTTGGACCCTCCTGCCTTACCCTCCTAAGTATTATAGGTTATAATAGTTATAACTATTATAACTTATAACTGCTGGCTATATATAACTATTATAATATGGTTACATATAACTATCATAATAGTTATAACTATTATAACCTATAACTGCTGGCTATATATAACTATTATGATATGGTTATATATAACTATTGTAATAGCTATAACTATTATAACCTATAACTGCTGGTGCAGTTATAGGTGTGCACCAGCATGTCCAGCTTGGTTTTTTTTTTGTTTTCTAGTATGAGGGGTCGAACACAGGACCTTGCGCTTGACAGGCAGGTAGGTGCAGGGCCACTGAGCTACATGTCCAGCTCATTTTCTTTTCTTTTTTTTTTTTTTTTTGAGACAGGGTCTCACTATGTAGTTCAAGGTGGCTTTGAACTCACTATGGAGCCCAGGCTGGCCTTGAACTCCTGGTGAGCCTCCTGCCTCAGCCTCCCCAGTACTGGGATTACAGGCATATGCCACCACACCCGGCTTGTTCTGGCTTTTTATTTTAGATTAATTTATTACATAACATCAGGAAGTCTACAGCAAAAACTATTTCTAAAGCCATTCACTGTTCAATAATGACAGTTAGGGCTGGGGATTTAGCTCAGTGGTTCCGGCGCCTGACTTGAAAGTACAAGGTCCCGAGTTGGATCCCTGGTACCAAAAAATAATGACAATTAAGGCCACAAGAATGACTAGAATTTACCACTAATATTCCTAGTTCAGTGACAAGTAACAGATTCAAATATTTTTGGCAAAGTACTTGCGGATGAATAGTTTAATGAATACCACAGGCTTTTAACACCTTGCATTTTCATAAGCTTTGTAAATTTTTCCAACTCAGTTTTTTTCTGCCCCAGACATATTTTTACTGCTAACAGTTGTAATACATCTTAGCACTTCAGGTTGTACTGAATTAGGGTGCTCCTTAACTTCTGTGAAAATATTATTGCTTATAACTCTTCCACCCAGACTATTTATTAAGAATAATTCTTCAGGGCTGGGGATTTAGCTCAGTGGTTTCGCCGCCTGCTGCGCAAGCACAAGGACCTGAGTTTGATCCCTGGTACCAAAAACAAACAAACAAAAGAATAATTCTTCAGGGCCAGGGATTTAGCTCAGTGGTTTCGCCGCCTGCTGCGCAAGCACAAGGACCTGAGTTTGATCCCTGGTACCAAAAACAAACAAACAAAAGAATAATTCTTCAGGGCCAGGGATTTAGCTCAGTGGTTTCGTCACCTGCTGCACAAGCACAAGGACCCGAGTTCAATCCCTGGTACCAAAAAAAAAGAATAATTCTTCAGTCACTTGAAATTTGCCACTGACTCTATGAATAAACACTAATTGAGTTGTATTGTCAACATACAGCAGCTCATCAAGGGGCTCCAAAAATTATTTGGTATCATTTGACTTGTTTTCTACTGGACTATTAATGTTAGTCCCAATGTCCTCTGTTCTTTAAGCAATGCTGAAGGGTTAACTGTCCTAAGCAATTTTAGGTAGTCTGGATACATTTTCATGGCTACTATACAACAGGTGCAATTTAATTAGCTCACCATTGGAAAATAGTTTTCCACGCCTGACAAATGCGCCTCTTTCTCAAATAAGATCACGTACTTTATAAAGAAATTTGTTGTGATGAGATATCTTCATTTCAGCCTTCTAAGTTTTTGAATGATTCCTTTCAGTAGGGAAAAGTGTGATGAGTGCTTCATCTTGTAATGTTGACATATATTCTTTTAGCAAAGATGGTGTTGTTTATATAATAAACATGATGCTTTGTCATTGAATTTGGTAACAAAATAATCCATCCTCCACTGTGCCTTAAAAATATAATATTCAGCCAGGGATTTAGCTCAGTGGTCCTACCTCCAAAGCACAAGGTCCTGAGTTCAAACCTGAGTACCAAAAAAAGAAAAAAAAGAGAAAAATATAATATTCAATCTGGGCATAGTGGTGCACATCTGTAGTCCCAGCATCGGAAAGGCTGAGGCAGGAGGATTGCTGGTAGTTCAAGGCCAGCCTGAATTAAGAGTGACACTCTGTCTTAAAACAAACAAAACAAAGAGAAAAAACAGTATTCAGAGCTAAGTGGAGTGGTATGTCCGTATAGTCCCAGCTACTTGGGAGGCTGAGGCAGGAGGATCACTTAAGCACAAGAAGTTCAAAGCAGTATGGGCAACATAGCAAGACCCTGTCTCAAAATTAAAAAACAAACAATTCCACCTCGTAAAACCTCAACATTATAGTCTATTTTTTTTTCTTGTTTTGACATGGAGAGTATACACTGGTAATGAAGAAGAAAATGTCACAGAACAGAGACACATGTGGCATTGAAACACTGTATCCCTGGGATGTGTAGCACACCAAGCATCTGCCTGAAGCCATGAGCACCGAACTCAGTCTCTGTCACAAGCTCTGCCACTAGTGTGAGAGCTGCCACAGACAACATGTAAACTAATGGGCATGGCAGTATTCCAATAAAACAATTGTGAACAGTCAAATTTGAATTTCATATAATTTTTATGTGTCACAAAATAGTAGCCTTGGGCCGGGGATTTAGCTCAGTGGTGTCACAGCCTGCCTCACAAACACAAGGTCCTGAGTTCGATCCCCTGTACCAAAAAAAAAAAGCAGCCTTGAGTTTTTTCAACCATTTTAGAATGCAAAAAAAAAAAGAACATCAGCTGAGTTTTGTTCTTGTTTTATTATTTTTGGTACTGGGGATCGAACTCAGGACCTTGTGCTTGCAAGGCAGGCTCAGTGCCGCTGTGCAAAATCTCCAGCCCTTTGTTTTATTTTGATAATTTATGCAGAGTTTATACTTGTTCTTTTCTTTTTTTTTGGTACTGGGGATTGAACTCTGGTCCTTGTGCTTGCGAGGCAGGTGGCAGAACCACTGAGCTAAATCCCCAGCCCTACTTGTTCTTTTGGGGGGAGGTTACTGGGGGTTAAACCCAGGGCCTCCCGCAGAATGGGCAGGTGACATTCCACTGAGCTACATCCCCAGCTCTTTTTATTTTATTTTTATTTTTGGTACCAGGGATCGAACTCAGGACCTTAGGTTTGTGAGGCAGGTCCTGGAACCACTGAACTAACCCCCCGGCCCTCTTTTTATTTATTTGTTTAACCTAATTAATTAATTAATTAATTAGGATTTAGCTCAGTGGCGACATGCCTGCCTTACAAGTGCAAGGTCCTGAGTTTGATCCCCAGTACTGAAGAAAAAAAAAGAATTAATTAATTAATTAATAGATAAGGGTCTTACTACAGCCCTGGCTGGCATCCCCCTGCCTCAGACTTCTGAGTAGCTAGGATTATATGTGTGTACCACCCTGGGTTTGTTTTATTTTGTTTTGATTTGTTTTCCAAGGTACTGAGGATGGAACCCAGGAGTTTTGCACTTAGCTACATCCCCAGATCCCCAGTTTTCTGGGGGGAGGTCTGTTTGATTTGGGTTTTTTTTTTTTTTTTTTTTTTGAGTCAGGGTCTTGTTGAGTCTGGGCATGAATTTGCAGTCCTCCTGACTCAGCCTCCCAGAGTGCTGGGATTACAGGGATGGACCAGAGACTCAGTTAATAGTTGTTCTTTTTCGTTTGTTTGGGTTTTTTTGTTTTTTGAGACAAAGTCTCACTACATAGTTCAGGTTAGCCTTGAACTTATTATGTAGCCCGGGCTGGCCTGGAGTTTGCATCATCCTCCTGTCTCAGCCTCCTGAGTGCTGGGATCACAGAGGTGGGCCACCATACCTGGTTTACAGTTGTTCTTGATGCAAGGGTCAGTCTGATATCAAAACTCCCTTAGAATGGGAAGCATAAGTCTATATATGCTTATGTTATTTTAGTGCTGGAGATTGAACCCACACACTAAGAAAGGGCTCCACCACTGAGTGGTACCCTGAACTCCATTTGTTAATTTTAATTCATTACTTTCACTTTTTATCCTGGGCCTCTTTCCACATTGACAAACTCACTTCCACAGTGTTGTAGTGCAGGATGGAATCCATCTGACTGTGTGTCACGGTTCTCTGTGTGGGGACACTGAGCTGGTGAATAGCTTCTCACTGTGATGAAGACACTCCCACTGCTCTGCTCAGACATCTGGTTATTTCTGCAGTATAAAATCCTAGAAGTACAGGGATGAGTCAAAGAGTTTACACTTTGAAAGGGTTTTCATAGGCGCTGCCAAACTTCCCTTCAGGAATGTTACACAATGGTGCGCCTCAAAGCCTGGAGTGCTGCTCCGCATAGGGGCCCAGGCCAGTTCCCGTGCCTCCCTCCTGTGCCAATCTGATAGCCCAGAAGACAGAAGACGGTATCTGCACTATTTGGATTTGCATTTCTTCCAGGCTGGTAGGTGTGGTCAGCTCACTCTCAAACATACATCTTCAACCTAATTTCTGGAACCTGTGAATGTTTAAGGAAAAAGTCTTTTTGTTGTTGTTTTGTTTTTGAGATAGGGTCTCACTAATATAGTTCAGGCTGGCCTTGAACTCACTATGTAGCCTCCAGGCTGGCCTCAAAATCGTGAAGATCTTCCTGACTCAGCCTCCTGAGTATACCATCACACCCTGCAAGAAAAGGGGTCTGTGCAGATTCAATTACACTAAGGATCTTTTTTTTTTTTTGGTGGTGGGGATTGAACTCAGGACCTTGCGCTTGCAAGGCAGGTACCAAAACCACTAAGCTAAATCCCCGGCCCACTAAGGATCTTTCTTTGTTTCTTCTTTGTTTCTGGCAGGGACTCACGTCTCACTCTGTAGTTCAGGCTGACCTTGAACTCACTATATATACAGTGGCCTCAAACTCATGGCAATCCTCCTGCCTCAGCCTCCTGAGTGCTAGGATCGCAGGCATGTGCCATCACACCCAGCTATAATAAGAATCTTGACCTGGGTAGATGATCCAGGATCAGAGGGGATGCCATCACGAGTGGCCTTCCATGTGAGAAGATACCAAGGGAAAATGGGCAGAGAAGAGAGAAGGCAGCATGGCCACACACAGAGATGGGAGGGCTGTGGTCACAGGCTAGAACACCAGCTGCCCCACGAAACTAGCAAGCGGCTAGGCATAGACTCTCCTTGGAACTTCCGGAAACAGTACGGCCCTGCCAACATCTGATGTCTGAAATCAGGGCAAGTGATTTCAGATTTCTGTTCTCCACGACAGTGACAGAATAAACTTAGGTTGTTTGAAGCCACCAAGTCTGTGGTGGTTGTTACAGCAGCCACAGAGGAAATGCACACAGTAGACTCCATGTTCATGGGTCACATGAAAAACCTTCTGTGAAAAATCTACAAAGCGTTGGGGGCCTCACATGAGCCAAATCCTGGGTTCAACTCCTAATAGCATAAAAAACTAAAATAATTTACAAGAATATTAGGCAATAAGATGCACAGTATAATTCTATTTCTGTGAAGCTCTACGTGGGGATATGTGTTTACCTCAGGGACTGCCTGGGGAGACGGTAGGCAGGATGCACATCAAACCAGCAACAGTGCTTAACTACAAGGACCCAACTGAAAGTGGTTAAACTGGAAAGGGCTTGGGGGGGCACTTTTACTTTTTATTCCTGCTATCACTCACATACTCTTGTTTTGTGTGTTGATGGGGTGGCATGGAGATTGAACTCAGGGATACTCTACTATGGTACTGAGCTATAGCCTCACCCTAGCTCAGGTGGTGGAACCACTGAGCTAAATCCCCAGCCCAACAATACATCTCTTTTTGGGCCAGGGGTTTAGCTCAGTGGTTCTGCCGCCTGCCCTGAAAGCACGAGGACCTGAGTTCGATCCTCGGTACCTCGGTACCAAAAAAAAAAAGATGCTCAATATATCTCTTTTTGAGAAAATATGTGAGGGCTGGGGATTTAGCTCAGTGGTGCCATGCCTGCCTCACAAGCAAGCCCAAGGTCCTGAGTTCGATCCCTGGTACTGGAAAAAAAAAAAAAGAAAAATATTTCAAAAGACTAGATTCATGAATTGTGTAAAAAATATAGCATTTATTATTTACCTGTCAATAAACAATAACAACAAAAATGTAGAAAGCAAAACCGCTCCACTCCTCTTATCCTCTTCCTAGGAAGCAGAAATTGGTTAATAATTTGGTGTACAGCTCAGGTTTTTTCCTGTGCACACACAAATATATGTGTCATTTTAAAATGCAAAAGTTAAACAGTGAGGGCTGGGATGTAGCTCAGGAGCCCAGCACTTGCCTGGCAAACGTGAGGCCCTGAGTTCAATTCCCCACACCAAATTTAAAAAAGAAAAAAAAAAGTGAAACAGTGAGTGCCATGTGTAATCTTTCATTTAAGGGTGTTTTTTCAAGATCCATTTGGGCAGGCGGCCCACCTCCTGCTGAGCTGCTTGCTTTGCAGACCACAAGGGTCAGAGGCATTTGACAAATCTCCCTGTTGCTCTGAACTTCCTTGGATCTGTGGCTTTGTTCGTCATCTGCCAGTTACGTTTAAAACACTCTTGGATGTTCCTGAACTGTCTTCCAGACTGCTTTTAAAGTTTATGGTGTTACCAATAGTTTCTCATTGTGGATGACACAAGACGGTATCCTTATTCCTCAAAGCTTTTTCGAACGTGTTGAAGTATGAGATATAATCTGTTTATCCTGGGGATGGAACCCATGCTAAGCACATGCTGTACCACTGAGCTAGGGCACCAGCCGGGCAAGATATCTGTCATTTCTTACCTATGAAGCTGGTTGGGCATTTTTCACGTTTATTGCTTACCAAGGCAGCTTTCTGACTATTTTCCTTGAAATGTGTGGAATCCAAGTCCTTTCTGTACCCAGACAGTGCTTGTTCGATTTAGGCCACAGTCCCAAGCTATGCAGAAAAGGTGATCTTTGGGATTTCAGCGGTCCTGACAAGATGGATAACCTGGGCGGGGGCGGGACGCGCTGGAAAGCCACAGGAAAGAGGTGCAGAAGGCTACCCGGCATATTTCGGCCTGCCATAAATCTCCCCAGTCCCTCGACTCCGTGCATCCGGCCGGGTGAACCGGGATGGAAGGGATCCGGCGCTCGCTAGGGACACGAGGCCGATCTGCGTGTTCGAAACTCTCCCGCAGGGGGCAGTGCCGCCCGCCCGCCCGCGGTCGCTGCGGTGGAAGGGGGTGCGAGCGGGCGCGGAGTTCGGGGTAGTTTGGAAGAAAGTTAGGGGATGCAGAGGGGCGCGGACGAGACTCCTGGGGCTCGCGGGAGGGCGCAGAGAGGGCACCGAGAGGCGAGGGTGAGGCGCGGGCAGGGGACCCGGGCGGGCGGGCTGGGGTGGGGGCGCCGCGCGCCGCGGGGAGGCGCAGCCCCCGGAAGGTGCGATGGAGAAGGGCGAGAGTGTGAACGTGAGCGCGGGTGTGCGCGCGAGGCTCCCCGGACTCCGCGGGGCGCGCGGGTGTCAGCTTGCAGCCGGGGCTCCTCCCTCCGGCCCCCCTGCCCGGCCGGGCGGTCCCTCCCTCCTTCCCGCTCGCCCCTCCCCGGCGGGCCAGGCGCTGGGACGCCCCGGCGGAGCAGGCTGCGGCGGCGGCGAGCTGGGGAGCCCTAGGCTCCGCGCTGCCGGAGGGGCCCGAGCCGAGCCTCCCCCGCCAGGGCCGCGCCGCGCCGGGCCCGCTCCCAGCGGGGCCACGCCCTGTCAAACTTTGTCGCGGCTTCGGCGGCGGCGGCGGCGGCGGCGGCGGCGCGCCGGGCCCGCTCCCAGCGGGGCCACGCCCTGTCAAACTTTGTGGCGGCGGCGGCGGCGGCGGCGGCGGCGGCGGCGGCGAGCGGGAACCCGACCGGCTCCCCGACCTGACGCCCAGTTCGGCTCGTGTCTCGGGAGGGAGGGCGGGAGCGCCGCGAGCGCTGTCGGGAGGTGTAGTCCGGGGCGTCCGGCCCCCGTGGTTAGG